AGATAATGTTAAACAGCGATGGCAAACAAAAGGAACCGAGACCAGAGGAATTTGGCATCAGCTAATGAGCTGTTCCTGCTGTTCATGGCGGGACAGAGCCTGGCTGGCAGCCACGGGCACCACACACCCACCGGGTGCTGAAACCTCTCCCCAAGCACACCTACGCAAACACCAGCCTTTCTTCTAAAATCACAACTGTCAAGTGAGGAGGACGGCATCAAAATTTAACACGTGGTGGTCAGTGTCACTTAAGACTGGTTTGGACTGCACCTGCATCCTTTGGGCACCAGTGACTGCAACACGTCTCGTGTGTGCCTTCAGCACGCGATGCCGGTTCACGTGGCCGATGATGGAGCTCTCCGCACGCTTCCTGACACAAACAAGGCTTTATTCCCGCAGATCCTCTGTAGCAGCTCGTTCTGTGGGAACCCATCCTCCTGCCAACACGCCCAGCGCCTCTGGGGCTGCAGTCCCCCAAGGGCACAAACCGCCGGGGACCTCCCCCCTGCTGTGCCAGCTCAGCACAGGGTGGACCTGCAAACCTCAGTCTTTAGTCAGCATCCAGTATCCTGCCTTGATTAACCCTGAGCAAACTCCACTCCTCCTTTAACACCTGCTCGCCCCAGGAGAGCACAGGGCGCTGGCGTGCCGTGTCACAGCCAGCGTCTGCAGAGCTAAGCACTGCGGCAAACAGGTTGCAAGCTTCTTACAAGTTACAAAGCTATTTTATTCTTCCTGACAAGCCTAATCATACTACTTCAATATTTGAAGTGAAGCACTTACTTAGCCCACCTCTTTGAGGACAGGTCACAATGTTAAAATCCATCTGTCGAGCACAGTTAAAAACAAAGCAGGAACAAGGCCTTAAGGCAATGCTGCTCAGCAGCTCTGGGGTTCAAAGGATGCAAAGCAAAGAGGTGGAAGCTCTTGTACATCACCACCAGACCCGACATAGGTTTATCTGCCCATTCGACACACTGTGACCATCCTGAGACATGTGTAAGTGCCAGCCTGCTGCTGGTCACAAGTTCAGGTGCTGCAAACACGAAGGTTTTGAGTGACAGGAGCAATATTAATCCCCTGCTTTTGCTGGTGGATGTTGGCAGATAATAGCAGTGTGCTGAGGTGTTAAAACTACAAATCCACCGACAACACAGAGAACAGAAGCTGCACATGGCAAGATAATGTTTTAGACCACTATCATCCACAGCTGCAGGAGCAGCCCCGAGTCAGGAACAGGGCTGGCCACGCTGCTGGCAGGAACTTTCACCTCCGCCTGCAAACAGTCCGTCACCTTCTCTGACGATCACCCCTGTTGTTTACTGAATACAGGTAATTTTTTAAATATCTCAGTCCCAAGCCGTTGATCGCAACTGCCGACCCCTGCGGCGCTGGTCGGGCCGGACCAAGCACCCACCTGGCTGGCGCAGCCCGCGCTGCCCGGACCTGCGCAGCCACGGCATCAAAGCTAACAGCTCGTTATTTCCTGCCAGCAAGCTCGTTTGCTGAAGCTACCAGCATGGGACACAAATGGGTTTAGCACAGTTCACCAATATTTAGGGGAACCACACAAACCTCTCTTGAGAAGCTGTTCCAGTCCCATTTGGGGGAACGGGGGCAGGATTTGGTCTTTCAGTCGTGCAGAACTCTTCTGGAGCAGGATTTTGCCCTGTGGAGCGGTAGTGTAAGCACAACAGGAACTGAATTCATTTCAGTTTTTAGAAGTGCTATGGAAATGCAACACAAGATCCTTTACAGCTATTTTTTCCCCTCATACTGAGTGTTTCACATGGCCTGTGAGAGTCCAGCCAGAACACCTGCATTTCGGCAGGTGGTTAAATAATCCTTGTTAAATCACTGGAGAGATTTCTACCATCGCAGTAAACCGTAACAGCCCGGCCAGGTCTCTCTGCAATTCCAGCATTCCCTGCGCTCGTGCTCCCGCGCTGGCACGTGCCCACACGCAGAAACCTCCTCCCATCTGCTTTGTCTATTGTGTATCTCTCAGATGTGTTTATTTATACACTTTTGTGTGGTCTAGTGTCCTAAGAGAAACAAACGTGTTGAACTGCTATAAATAGACACCTCGTTGAGTTATATTTAGTCCTTTTAGCATGTTTCATTTTTTCCTTGTGCCCAAAATTAACACAAAGTTAAGGGACAGTTTTAAAAGCATTTACAGTTGCTCAAAGAACCTGTTGCTGGTTCAGGAGACTGAGAAGAGGTCCTCTAACACAAACAGGTGAATAGAAAAGAAACAAAAGAGCTCTAATACCGGCCCTCAGCTCTCAGGGGTTTTGCTACATGAAAACAAAAATCAGGGGACTGCATCCTCCAGAGGTGACCAGCCAGGAGCCTTGTCTCGTACAGGAAAATCTCCAAGTGTTCCTCAAACACAAATTCACGCTGCCTAGGAAAAAGCTTTATAAAATAAATTTTAAAGGGAGACTCACTGTCACACCAGCCCAGCAGTTGTCACCTGCTCCCGGCACACATCCTGAGGGCTCACAGCCCCTCTCCTCTCCGGAGCCTCTAAACAGCAGAAACCTCCTTCGCCATGGACAAACCGGCCAGTCTCCCCATACAACTTCAATACACTGATTGGGTTCAGCCACGAAGGCCCCAGGAAGGCGCCAGTCCTGGTGCTGGTGCCCGGGGCTCGGCTCACGCCTGGTCCCCAGCGGCAGTTTCAGAGGGGGTGAGCAGGCGGGTATGATTTTCTCTGTGTAAATACGCTTTCTGCGCTGTCCCTCGATTCCTCAGGCAAACACAGGCAGCTCCGCTCAAACGTCTGCGTTGCCCTGTGATTGTGGGCTAAACTGTCCCGCGCAGACGGACCCCGGGAGGGTAAGGAACAAGCGGGGCTGCACGAAGTGCCAACGTGCTGTTAGACTTACGGTGCACAAGGCGGGGGATACGCAGAAGGGGCAGCCGGGTCCGGCTCCCCGAGGACCAGCCGGGCAGGGGCAGCTAAAAAGCAGCGACTCGTTTGGAGCTGTTTTCTCCTGAAGTTTAATTAAATGCTGGGGGTTTTCTTTCTTGCTTAGAATTTGCCAGCTTGGTGTTCCACACCCGCTTCCCCGTCCCTCCCGTGTCTGTTGTTCACCGCAGTGCCCGGTCAGGGTCAAGGCCCGGAGCTGTAAGCAAAGATAGCGTGTAGCTAGCAGTTTTGCAAGGGCACGTTAAAAATAATGTCAGCCGTTTCTGCCAAAGCACTTGTTTATACTGAGGACTGGCCTCACTGAAGTAATGTTCAGAGGGGTTCAAGTGTTCACTTTGATTAAGAATTTGATGAGAACATTAACTCAGTTCTCTTGCTTTACAGTTACTTTAGTAGTTATTGCAGGCAGGAAGCATCAGCATCAGACCAAAAGCATCTACCATCACCTGCGCGAGAGCTGGATGCCAGCGGTTCCCCCTGTGCAAACCGTGCCTGACCTCGGATCCTGCCGAATAAAGGTAGTGGCCAAAGGAAGAGATGGTGTCACGTCATTTCACTGCAGGAGACGCAGCAGCTGCCAACAGGAACAAGTGCGTGATGTGCCTTTCTGCTCTTTTTTTTTTTCTTTTTTTTTTTTTTTTACAGAGAAGCTAAAAACGGGGAGAAATGACACGGCTCCCAAGTAACGTGGCACTAAGCCCCACTGGTCTTTGCAGAGATCATAGCAGACTCGGTCCTGCAGGGAGATCACCTCGGTGCCCTCGGCACCTTCGTACAAAAGGGAAGCAGGCTGCAAAGCCTGCCCCATTTATTCACAAAAACAGTGGAAGAGTTGTTCCACAGAGTGAAGAGGCAGAACAACTACGCTTTACGCACGGGTGCTCACCTCTGGAAACGGAGATTTGGCAGTGACGGACACGGTGAAACGGGTGATGCCGGCGTCAGGAATCCCAGAACAGTGGGAACGGCTGAGGACCTGACTGTGGTCACCCCTGCCAGCAGCATGTGACACAGGAGCAAGAGCACTTCCAAGTACATGATGTAGCTCCTAAATACGGCTGAATCAACTGAGTTTTGGGAAATTCATAGTAAGTTGTCTTATCAGAGACATCTTCAGACTGCTCAGAGAGCACTTGGAAAGGCGTTAGGGTGGAAAAACGCAACACACCCAAAATCCCAAAACACAAATCTCAGCAGATTTTTTTCTGACATTTCCCCGTCCACACATTAAGGCAAAAGACGGAAAACATTCCCCTTTCTTTTCAATGATTAAAAAAATCCTCCAGAAAAAAACAAATTCCTTCCAAGTCCCTTTTAGACCACACTTATGTGCAGCGAAGTGATGGATTTAAAAGGTTGCTGCTGGAATATGCTTCACAGCAGTCTATTGCAGTGAATAAATATCACGTTTACATATCCATTATAACAAAACTATGTTGCACTTCCATTACTTCATGTTGGTTTGCCATCTGGAAGCTAAACAAGCTGTGTAGTGTAAAAAAAAAAAAAAAAAGAATTTAATTTTGCGTTTACCAAAAGGAGCCATAGAAGTTTCAATTCGTAGCAGGCAATTACACAACCTTAGCAGGCAGAAATCTGCCCACAGAGAGTCAGAGCCGTGCTCACACGGGAGGGCAGTTAACACAGCTACGAGGGCTCAGCCGCGCCGAACAGCCCCTCAGAGAACCGATTTCACACAGCAGCATCGGTCCAGAGACCAGCCTGAAAACACGTTTCTGGGAAACTTTTCCTGCTTACCCTAAGAGGACTGCACGCAGAGCCGAATACGGATCGGAGTGGCACTGCTCAGTTTATATCGTGTCAGGCTTTGTGTTATATATTCAGAAACACCCCAAGGAAGTGGTGTTTCCTTGCTCTGAGCCTTCTACCAAGAAAAAACCCATCTGAACAACGCTACCCATCACCACGTGTCTGCCCAAAAAAAAGGCACCCTGAAGGCAGCGGTCGGGGCGTCACCAAGCCCAAACCAGGCAGGGCCCTTCCAGGGCAGGCTGGGGCTCGGTGCCAAACCCGCTCTCTGAGAGCGGGGCAGCCCTGCAGGCAGCC